AGGTTTTTGGCTATTTTCGGTCTTTGCGGGGCCCTTCCCGGGCCTCGGGACCGTCAAAACATGATTCAGGATGAAGAACCGGTCCTGGGGAAGGGGTCCAGACCTCTGGGGGTCCACGTCGTGAAAAAATCACGACGTCGGAGGTCTGGGGCGCGGGCACAGACGGGCCCTCGGATGGCTGAAAACGAAGCAGTAGCAGCGGCTTGCACGCCCAAGTTTGGTCCCCCCACGGCCCCCAAAAAGCCGCGCACCACAGGTCACTCTTACAAGGGGTCACTCTTGCGTGTAGCCGACCGGTGTGCGGCGAGAGTCGCTGGGCGCTGCCAACCTACTACCGTTCGCTCTCATGGGCTCGCGCTGGGATTTGCCACGTCAGGTTTTGCCGCCGACGCCCCCCGCGGCGGTCGCGCCGCTGGCGGGCGCGGCGTCGCCAAGAGGACAGGGTCTTTGACGGCTGCTCGCGAGGCCACGGCGCGTGCTGAACGGCGGCGGCACGCCACTGACGATGCGATTTCTACTCGGCAACAGACGCTGCAGAAAACAAGCGCCAACGCCATCACTCCCTCCCTCCGCACCGCCACGGACATCGCCAGCGCGAGCGTCGATTTCGCAGGGGGGGGACCACCGGATGGCATTGTTTCACGGAACGTTCGGGAGGGACGAGGACATCATGGTTTTGGAAGGACGCGCTGCATTGGCGGGGGCTTGTCAACGTCCCCGCGCTGGAGTTCGACAAGTTCGATCAACGCACTGCGTCGTCAACTGTTACCCCTCCCGATCCTCGCCAACACTCGCACCACCAGCAGACGGACCCCATCGAAGTGGAATCCCGCCGCTGGGAAGGCGGCCCAGGCGCGTGGCCCCAGAGCGACGGCGGCGAAGGCTCGCCGCCCGGCGCGGGCCGCCTCGGAGGCGCGAGCTGATCGGCGGCGCGCAGTAGGACCGCGAGAGGGTCAGTCCTTGCTGCAGCGGGCGCGGGTCGGCGCTGGCACTCGGAGGCGCGTGTAAGCCGGAGTGCCAGTGACTCCTGGGCCGGAGGGCGGCGAATAGGTTGCCGCTCCGCCCGCCGCAGGCTCTGGATCGGGGCCTCGTGCTCCACCAGGACGAAGCTTTCTTCGCGGGGCACATCCACGACGAGGGAGAGAAGCTGTTCCTCGCGGGTCGATCGTGAGCCTCGGCACGGCGGCCTCTCTGCCTGGGGTTCGGGCGGCGTTCGGGCGGCTGCTGGAAGGCCTCCCGAGGGCGCGCCCGCCCGCCGACGCCGCGGGCGCTGCCGCCGGCGCCGCGCGCGGGCCCCCTCGGGCCCGGCCAGCCCAGCGACGGCCTCCCCAGCGCCGCCCGCGCCCTGCATGGCAAACCCCAGCGGGCGCTTCGAACGAAGGATTGCAAAAAAACGAAGGATTGCAAAAAAACGAAGGATGCCCCCCCCAAAAAAAACGAAGGATTGCAAAAAAACCTTCGTCGACGGATTGCAAAAAAACCTTCGTGAACGAAGGGTTTTTTGCAATCCTTCGTTCAAGTGAGGGTTTTTTTGCAATCCTTCGTTTTTTTGCAATCCTTCGTTTTTTTGCAATCCTTCGTTCAAGTGTATCCCGACGAGCTCGGACAGGGGTCGAAGGCGAGCCCGCTCGACGAGGGGTCGTTTGCGAGTCCGCTGGCGTCGAGAGTGCCAAGGCATTGTCTGCGGCGCCTTCGGCCACGGGGCAAAACGCGCTCTGGCCACGGCCAGCGAGCGGCTTCAGGCGCGAGGCGGAAGAGCTGTTGGCTCTGGCGGGCGGGCCCGGCTGGGGCATCTACAGCATCCGGCACGGGTGGGCTTCGCACGCAGCCGCCATCGACCAGACGCCTCTTCGCGCCGTGCAGGCGCGCCTTCGGCACGCAGCCCCAGGCAGCGCGACCCTGGACTCGCGGCAGGCTCGCCACCTGGCCGAGTGCCACATGCTCGAGCCCAGTCTGGCGGCACACTCCCAGACGGTGAAGCGCCGCCTAGAGTCGATCCTCGGCGCTGGGCGCGGGGCGACGGCGACGGCGCCCCTAAAGGCCGCGCCGCCGCCGCTGTAGACAGCGGAGCGGCTTGGCGCCGCGGGGGCGCCGTCGACTGCGCTGCGCCCGTCTCCGACCTGGCGCTGCGGCGGCGACCACGCGCGGCCCTGCAGGCCACCTTGAGGAGAGGCGCCGCGCAGGGCTGGGTCTCCATCGGGCGGGCCACTCCGGGCCCATGGGGAGCGCTCACCTTCGACCTGAAAGATGACCCCCGTTTTCGATGTCACGAGGCCCGTTTTCATAAGGTTTTTGCAAGGATGGATCCGGAGCAATATTGTGAGAGGCCTGTTCATCAGTTCTCCATGCACCACTTGGTCTCAGGCATCGAGAGATCATTACAGAACGCCAGACTTTGTTTGGGGCCGACCCAGCCTACCGCGACAGAGCTACCGCATCTTGCCGCTTGGCAAATCCACCCTGGTTGCGACAACTGACATCATCAGTGTGCGCATTGGAACCTCAACCCATCGGCGGTTGCCAGGCATCCAGCTCGGGCGTGGGAGGCGATGCGTCGGAGGCCCGCGAAGAAGGCAGATCTTCTCATGCTGCTCGAATGGTCTCGTCGGCATTTCGCGGTATCGTACAGAGATGGCTGGAAAGAAAAGAAGTGTCATCGTCAGCTCTGGTCTCAACCTCCTCTTTCCTCCTCCCCTCCTGTCGGACTTACTCATACTCAGACTTGCCCATACTCAGACTTACTCATACACAGACTTACTCATACTCAGACTTACTCATACTCAGACCTACTCATACTCAGACTTACTCACACTCAGACATACTCATACACAGACTTACTCATACACAGACTTACTCACACCCAGACGTACTCATACACAGACTCACTCATACCCAGACTTACTCATACACAGTATTAGTCATACTCAGACTTACTCATACCCAGACGTACACATACACAGACTTTCTCATACGCAGACCTACTCATACCCAGACTTACTCATACACAGACTTACTCATACACTGACTTACTCATACTCAGGCATATTCATTTTCAGCACCCCTAAGGGGAGCCGCCAGGGGTGGTTGCACGGGCTCGTTCGCGGCCATTTTGTGGGGATATCTCAGGCGGTTTGCTTGTTTCTGGGCTCAACATCCTTCGCTTGGAGAGCAGATTGTGAGGATGTCTCAGGCGGGGCGCTGGTTTCAGCACCCCTAAGGGGAGCCGCCAGGGGTGGTTGCACGGGCTCGTTCGCGGCCATTTTGTGGGGATGTCTCAGGCGGTTTGCTTGTTTCTGGGCTCAACATCCTTCGCTTGGAGAGCAGATTGTGAGGATGTCTCAGGCGGGGCGCTGGTTTCAGCACCCCTAAGGGGAGCCGCCAGGGGTGGTTGCACGGGCTCGTTCGCGGCCATTTTGTGGGGATGTCTCAGGCGGTTTGCTTGTTTCTGGGCTCAACATCCTTCGCTTGGAGAGCAGATTGTGAGGATGTCTCAGGCGGGGCGCTGGTTTCAGCACCCCTAAGGGGAGCCGCCAGGGGTGGTTGCACGGGCTCGTTCGCGGCCATTTTGTGGGGATGTCTCAGGCGGTTTGCTTGTTTCTGGGCTCAACATCCTTCGCTTGGAGAGCAGATTGTGAGGATGTCTCAGGCGGGGCGCTGGTTTCAGCACCCCTAAGGGGAGCCGCCAGGGGTGGTTGCACGGGCTCGTTCGCGGCTATTTTGTGGGGATGTCTCAGGCGGTTTGCTTGTTTCTGGGCTCAACATCCTTCGCTTGGAGAGCAGATTGTGACGATGTCTCAAGCGGGGCGCTGGTTGCAGCACCCCTATAGGGAGCCGCCAGGGGTGGTTGCACGGGCACGTTCGCGGCCATATTGTGGGGATGTCTCAGGCGGTTCGCCTGTTTCTGGGCTCAACAGGGAGGGAAATGACAGGAACGAGGATGAGGAGGAGGAACAGGAGGAGGAGGAGGAGGCGGGGGATCGTGAGGAAGGGCATGGGGGTGCGGAGGGGGAGGGGGAGCAGGAGGATGAGGAGGAGGAGCAGGAGCAGGAGAAGGGAGGGGGCGGAGGAACAGGAGGAGGAGGAGGAGGAGGAGGAGGGCGCTTTGCTCGAAGGTCCTTGACGCGAGCAGAACGTTTGTTCCGAAGTCCAGGACATATATATATATATATATATATGTATTCATAGGGGGTGACTGCGAGGGGGGGGCGGTGGTTGTGTGCGGGGATCGTTGGAAATGCTCACCGTGGCACTATCCTCCAACATGACATGCACTTATGGCCTTGTGTGGCTAAACGCTCGTCTTACATTTCCCACTGCCAACTATCCTACAACATATGCACATGTGGGAAGCTCCAAAGCTACCACGGGCTGAAAAGGGGAAGGCCTGGCAGCTGAGGAGGGGGGATGAAGAGGAAGAGGCTCGCATTCAACCATACTCAAAGCTCACTCTGACTCATACGCAATCACTCGCATTAGGGGTCACTCGTCTTCGTTGGCCCTGTCGCCCACGTGGACGCGCTATTGTAGTCGACCGCTCATGAACAGACGCTCACCACGGCATGACATAAAACATGAGATGCACATATGGGGAGCTCCACGCAGTGAGTAATTGTTCGTCCGATGTATCGGAGGCCCACGAAACAGGCACATCATGTTGCTGGAATGGCGTCGTCAGCATTTCGCGGTATCGTACAGAGATGACCTGAAGGAAACATGTCATCGTCAGCTCTGGTTTCAAATTTGCGCATTTAACCATGCACAACTATAAATACATGGACACGCATGTATGCACACACACACACATGCACGTAAAGCCACACGTGTGAGCACATCGAATACACAAGCAGTAGAGCAGGGGTGCATTGTTGAGCCTACCAGCAGCATGAGTAGCACCCAAAGCCCCCGAGCTCGCAGGACATGCCGCAGCAAAGCCAGGGGCCCAGGTGTGCCAAGCTCACCGGGGGGAAAGGGCTGGCCTCCCTTGGGGACGGCGCTGGCAGGTTGACAAGAGCGGCGCGGGCGAGCTGGACCTGATCCAGTTTGAGACAATGGTCGGGCGGTGGCGGGCCAGGATTGGATAAGGTGGACGAGGACTTGGAAACGATTGGATGAGGTGGATAAGGTGAACGAGGAATTGGATAAGTTGGACGAGGAATTGGATAAGGTGGACGAGGAATTGGATAAGGTGGACGAGGAATTTCATAAGGTGGAGAAGGACGGCGAACAGGCCGAGGAATTGGATGAGGTGGGCGAGGAGCAGCTGCAGCAGAAGCAGGGGCCGACGCGCGCAGCACACCACGAGAGCAGTGTGAGTGGCGTGTGGGAGAGAGGAGCAGGATCGGGGCCGTGGGGGCAGAAGGGGGAAGACAGACAGACAGACAGAGGCCCGGTCAAACCACATGGGTTGGCCCGTAGACGGGCGAGGCTCCAGCACAGTGGCCTGAGCGCACACGTGCGTAAACGGAGAGCAAACGTTGTGCCTCCGAGGGGGGAGGGGGGAGGAAAGAAAAGAACGGGGGCGGTCCTCACGCGTGAATGCAATACCGGAGCGGAAATGGCACAGGAAGGAAGAGGGTGAGGAGGAGAATAGGGGAGCGAACAATGACACAAACATAAAAGCACGGAGGTCCGCGCGGATTTCTCGGATCCGCGGTGGACCCCCCTGGCGGCGCCTCCGGCGCCGCCCCTGGCGCGCTCCGCGCGCCAGGGAGGGGGGTCCAGCGCCGATCCGAGAAATCCGCGCGGACCTCCGAGTTTTTATGCTTATGTCATTTTTCGTGTATGCTTATGTCAGTTTTTATGTTTATGTCATTTTTAAGTTTATGTCATTTCTCGTTCCCCTGGAGAAGGAAGGAAGGAGGGAGGAGGGAGCATCGGGGATTACGGCCAGGGGGGTGCCAAACAGCAATGGGCAGCGGCCTCGGCCACGATCCCGCAGGCTGGAAGGGTCGGGAGGAGGAGGAAGAAGAAAGAGGAGAAAGGAGGAGGACCCCCCTTCAACATCAATATGTTCCTTCTCCTACTAATCGTTTCACCTCCCTCCTGCTTCCCCGCCTCCCCACTACTACCACCCTCATCATGATCAGCATGTGCATTCCCGTCCTGAAGGTGCCCAAGAGGTGGAGGGGCGGAGGGGAGAAGGCAAGCAGGAGGGAAGGCTTTTTTTTTTCGGAGTGATGCATTGGTGCTGGATTGGTTTCATTGGGGTTTGGGCGGTTACGGGAAACTCTAGGCTCTAGGGGTTCCATATGGAGGCCCGATGGGGGCGAAAAAGGAGAAAGGAGAAGGGAAAGGAGGAGAGAGAGAGAGAGAGAGCGAAAGAAAGAAAGGGGGGGAGAAAGAGGCAAGCTGGGTGCGCTCGCGCGGTATATGGCATCCGACCCCTCCCACCAATCCCTTTTTCATTGCGCGGGTAGTTGTTCTATCCGCCGACGCATGCCGTAGCGGACCTGAAATTTCAAAAAGGACCCCATCGTTTCGTGCGCATTCGAGGAGAAAAAAGGGGGGGCTGCGCGGATTAGCGGGAGGACGAACAGGAGGGAAAAGAGGAGGATGTGAAAGGAGGCAGACAAAGGCGAAAAGCGGGAGCATGAGCTGGAGTGGAGTGGGCGGAGGGAGCGGGGGAGCACGAGGACCAGGGGAAGGCGGAGGACGGGAAAGGAGGAGGGACAGAACGATGAGGAAGGGTTCAGATCCAGGAAAGTGGCCCGCGTTGGGGCGACAGTATCGTTTTTAAAAGAACCGGAGCAATGCGTAGAGCCCCAAAAAGGCTCACGTTGCAGCGGCAGCACCATTTTGAAGGACCGAGAACGCCTGGCAAAACAGACCCCCCCCCACACAAAAAAAAGAGCTGCCCCCATACGGTGCGTTTACAGCAGTCTATGTTGTGTACTCTATGTGGCGGAATGTATGTTGCGCAGCCCCTGTGGTGCAATCTGTGTGGTGCCGTATATGTTGTGAATTTTACGTGGTGCCATATACGCTGTGCAATCCATGTGGTGCAATCTATGTTTCTGTTTCAATCAATGTTGTGCAAGCTACGCTGCGCAGTCTAAGTGCTGCAATCTACGTGTTGCAAACTATGTGGCGCAATATATGTGGTGCAATGTGTGTTGCGCTCTCTCTGTCGTGCAATAATTGATGTGCACTTATTTTGTTTTCGCAACGTGTTAGCGACCCCACTGCTCACGCAACCACCCCACCCACCCACCTTCCATGTGGGGGCGATTGCGATGTCCGCCTGCCGCTGATTGGCGCTTCGCTGCGACCGCGCCAGCGCGCGCCGGCTCGCGCGCAGAGCGGCCAGCTAGTCTGTCTGGCGCGACGGACGCGGCCGCGGTAGCGATGACCGCTGGGGACGTCCCAGCACGTCTCGCAGGCCGCGCTAACGCGTGGTCACATCAGTGCGAGTCGGTGAGTCGGGCGGGCGCGGTATCATGGCGACGTCGACAACGGCAGACACGATGACGAAAGCGCACCAATGGGTGCCCCCGTAATGGTTAAGGGGTCGTGTGCTAATGGGGCCCCACCCCTCTCCCCCTTCAAGAGCGGTTTTTGGGCCCCCCTCCCTCCCCCCTTACCCCCTCTGTGCGCCCGAGAGGGGGGGCGATCTCGAACCGCCCCCCCTTTTAAAGAGGGGGGGAGGGGTCGATCCCCCCCTTGCGCTGGACAGGGGGCCGGGGGAGCGCTTGTCGCTTCCCTGCGATGCGCCGGAGGTAGTGAGGGACAGGGCTAGGGTCATTGGGTTAAGGTGGAAGTGTTAGGGTGAGGGTGTTGTGATTAGGGCGTTAGGGTTAGGGTGTTCAGGTTCGGGCTAGGGGGTCACGGTTACTGTGGTAGGGTTGGGAGGATTAGGATTAGGTTCAAGACACCGTATAGCTCACTCCCACCCGACCTCCCAAGACAGAAGTAACACCCGAGCCTGAGCATGTTCAGCGGTCGTCTTTGGATGGACAGCTACTGGGAACCAAAGCCGGCCCCATGTGCGCGACGTTGGGGCGAAGTGCGCCACGCGTGCCGGGCGCGCCACGCGCGCCAGGCACCCCTGGGGCCCAATCGAGCCAGGCACGCCTGGTGCGCCAGATGCGCCACGTGCTCCGCGTGCGCCAGGTGTGCCGCATACTCCAGCCGCGCCAGGTGCGCCATGTTCGGGGCAAGTGCAGAGTGCGTCAGGTGCGCCTGCGCACGTGACAGCACACATCGGGAAACATGTTGGCCCCCACCATCCTTGTCGAAAACCCATGCCAATCATTGTGTTTGGTGGGCATGCGCACAGAAGACCATACGCCACCACCCCCGCCGTCCCTGTCAAAAACCACTTGACAGTGATGGGTGGCCGCGCACGATCCAGATTTAGCCGCAATGTGCATTTTGCACTGTTCCCCACCATCCTGTTGGATCTTCGTTTTGAAGAGACGGTCCCCGCGTTCACTCCTCCTCCTCCTCCTCCTCCTCCTCCTCCTCCTCCTCATCCTCCTCCTCCTCCTCCTCTTCCTCCCCCTCCTCCTTTTCCTCCTCCTCCTCCTCCTCCTCCTCCTCCTCCTCCTCCTCCTCCTCCTCCTCCTCCTCCTCCTCCTCCTCCTCCTGGTGCCCCCTCCCTCATCATCAACGTCATCGCCCGTTTCGACACACCCCTCACCACACGCTTCGTGGCCCCATTACGAGCCCCAGCGAAGGCCCAAATGCCAGCGTTCGCACGCGGTCACCGCACCCATTTTGGCACACCCCTCACACGCTTCGTGGCCCCATAGCGAGCCCCACCGAAGGCCCACATGCCAGCGTTCGCATGCGGTCACCGCACCCATTTTGGCCCACCCCTCACATGGTTCGTGGCCCCATAGGCAGCCCCACCGATGGCCCAAATGCCAGCGTTCGCATGCACCCACCGCACCCATTTCGGCACACCCATCACACACGTTTCGTGGCCCCGTAGGCAGCCCCACCGAAGGCCCGAATGCTGGCGTTCGCATGCGGTCACCGCACCGATTTTGGCGCACCCCCCACACGCTTCGTGGCCCCATAGGCAGCCCCACCGAAGGCCCAAATTCCAGCGTTCGCATGCGGTCACCGCACCTTTCTTGGCCACCCCTCACCACACGTCTCGTGGCCCCATACAGAGCCCCACCGAAGGTCCAAATGCCAACGTTCGCATGCACCCACCGCACCCATTTCGGCACACCCTTCACACGCTTCGTGGCCCCATAGAGAGCCCCACCGAAGGCCCAAATTCCAGCGTTCGCATGCGGTCACCGGGCCCATCGTGGCACACCCCTCAAACGTTTCGAGGCCCCATAGCGAGCCCCACCGAAGGCCCACATGCCAGCGTTCGCATGCGGTCACCGCACCCATTTTGGCACATCCCTCACACGCTTCGTAGCCCCATAGCGAGCCCCAGCGAAGGCCCAAATGCCAGCGTTCGCATGCGGTCACCGCACCCATTTTGGCCCACCCCTCACACGCTTCGAGGCCCCATATCGAGCCCCACCGAAGGCCCACATGCCAGCGTTCGCATGCGGTCACCGCACCCATTTTGGCCCCTTCCTCACATGGTTCGTGGCCCCATAGGCAGCCCCACCGATGGCCCAAATGCCAGCGTCCGCATGCACCCACCGCACCCATTTTGGCACACCGCTCACACGCTTCGTGGCCCCATAGGGAGCTCCATCGAAGACCCCAGGGCCACCTCCCGCATGCGTCACACTTTTCGCTGCCCCGTAGTGCGTTCCGCCTAAAGCACCAGTGGCAGCGCCCACATGGCGGCCCCGCCCCACATTGGCACACCTTTCGCATGCTTCAGGGCCCCATGAGGAGATCCCCCGAGGGCGATACCCGCAACGACGGTACTCACAACTGCATATGGTTGGGTCCGTCGCCAGGATAATTTTTGTTAGGGATGGTAGCCCTGCGCAGAGCAGGCAATGCGCTGACAACCCCGCCGTCCCTTTCAAAAACAATACAAAGTGCACGCAGGCCTTAAGACTTCGCCCCAAAGTGTATTTTGCATTGTTTTTGACAGGTATGGGTGGGGGTGGCGCATGGGGTTGGCCGCGCATGCTTACAATGTTGAGGCAGAGATCGTGTTGTATTGTTTTTGACCGGGATGATAGGGGGGACAGGCGTGGTGTCCTCGTGGTTCCTGGTTGGCTGCCGGTCGCCTGGGGGAGGGGGTGTATAATAGGGAACAGTGATTGAGGGTAAGGTGTTAGGGTTAGGATTAAGGGGGTAGGGTTAGGGTGGTAGGGTTCGGGAGGTAGGGTTAGGGTTGTGATCAGGGGGGTTGGGCTAAGGTATTAGGGTTCGGGTGAGGGGGTTAGGGTTAGGGTTCGGGTTATGGGGGGCTCGAATTAGGGTGTTCGGGTTAGGGTTAGGGTGGTGGGGTGAGGGTTCGGGTGTTCAGATTTGGGTAAGGGTTCAGGTTCAGGGGTCAGGGTTAGGATTAGGGCCTTAGCGTTAGGATCAGGAGTAGGAAAAGGGTGCTAAGGTTAGAGTTTGAGAATTAGGGATAGGGTGGGGGGTTCCGGGGTTAGGGCGTTCAGGTTAGGGTTAGGGTTCGGGGGTTAGGGTTAGGGTGATAGGGTTCGGATTAGGGTTAGGGGTAAGGTGTTAGGGTTAGGGTTAGGAGGTTAGGTTTAGGGTGGTAGGGTTCGGAGGGTAGGGTTAGGGTTAGGGTCAGGGGGGGTTGGTCAGGGTAGAAGTGTTAGGATTATGGGGTTAGTGTGAGGGTTAGTGTTAGGTTGTTCGGATTAGGCTGTTCGGGTTAGGGTTAGGTTTAGAGGGTTAGGGCTTGGGTGGTGGGGTTCAGGTTAGGATGATAGGGATGGTGTCAGGGGGTTAGGGTCAGAGTGGTAGGGTTATCGTTAGGGCACTAGGGCTCGGATTAGGCGGTTTAGGGGCTTGGGGTTAGGGTGGTATTTGTTGTTGAGGGGGAGGGTTAGGGTTAGGGTTAGGGGATTTGGGGTCAGGGTTAGAGGGTTAGGGTTAGAGGGTTAGGGATTAATGTTTGGGTGGTAGGGTTCGGTTTAGGGGGTTAGGGTTAGGGTGGTAGGGTTGGGGTTAGGGGGTTAGGCTTCGTGTCATGGAGGTTCGAGTTAGGGTGGTAGTAGGGTTCGGATTAGGGTGCTAGGGTTAGGGTGCTCGAATATGGGTCAGGGGTAGGGGGTTCGGGTTAGGTGGGTCTTATGGGGGCTATTGTTAGGGCGGTAGGATTAGGATTCGGGTCAGGTCGAAGGTTAGGGCTAGGGGTTCAGGGTTAGGGTGTCAGGGCTAGGGTTAGGGAGCCAGGGGGGGTCGGGTTAGGGTAGTACGGTCAGGTTTAGGCTTTCGGTCAGGATTATTAAGGGGGTTTTAGGTTAGGGGTTCAGGGTTAGGGGTTCGGGGTTAGGGGTTAGGGGTTAGAGCGTAGGGTTAGGATTAGGGTTAGGGTTAGGGTTAGGGTTTAGGGTTAGGGTTAGGGTGAGGGTGAGGGTGAGGGTGAGGATGAGGGCAAGGGTTAGGGTGAGGGTTAGGGTGAGGGTTTGGAATAGGGTTAGGGTTGAGGTTTGGGGTTAGGGATTAAGCTTAGGGTTAAGGGATTCGGGGGTTAGGGTTAGGGGTGGGGGTCCGGAGCTAGGGTTCTGGACTAAAGGGGAGGGGGTCCGAATTTCAAATCCAAAAAGGAAAAGAGAGAGGGGGGAGTTCGAACGCCACCCTTTTCAAGGGGGGGGATCCGCCAACGACGGGTTTTGAAGGGGGGGTGGTCCGCCGACGACGGGCTGGGGAAAAGGGGTGATAGGGGGGCGTCTCGGACTACCCCCCCTTGGAGGCATCCAGTGCCGCGCCCCCCACGATGACGATAGTAGCGATGCTGGTGACGATGATGACAATGACGACGGCACGGGCAATGAGGCCGCCGATGCTGATCACGCCTGGGGCGATGATGGCACGTGTCGGTGATGAAAGTTTTCGAAAGATTTCGACATGCGGCGGGCCCGCGCGAGTGGCCCGCATTGTTTTATTTGACGGGGGTCGTGCCCCCCCCGAGCACGCGCGCACGGGCATTCGAATGATTTCGACATGCGCGTGCGCGCGCGGGAGGCCCGTTTGGCGGCATTCGGTGACAATGTTGAAAACCGATGGCTTTTCGCAAGAATTCGAAAGCGCGCGCGAGCATGCGTCTTGTTTTTTGACACCCATGTGGCAGCCATCTGGATGTATGTGCTGTCGGGGCATTCGATTTTGAAACCACCACGGAAATCGAAGGTTTCGGGGGGGATTCCGGCATGCGTGCGCGGCGCCCCTCTCCCTTTGCGCCGCCCCCGTATTGTTTTCTCCTCCCTCGCCTCCTCCCCCACACTTTCTCCACCAGTCTCCTTGTCCTCCTCATGCTGCTGCTGTTCCTCCTCCACCTATTCCATGGGGGAACAAAAAATCACATAAACATAAAAATTCGGAGGTCTGCGCGGATTTCTCGGATCGGCGCTGGGGCCACCCAGCGGCGCCTCCGGCGCCGCCCCTGGCGCGCTCCGCGCGCCAGGGAGGGGGGTCCAGCGCCGATCCGAGAAATCCGCGCGGACATCCGAGTTTTTATGTTTATGTCATTGTTTGTTCCCCTATTCCAGGCAATGAGGATGAGGAGCTGCAGCAGCAGAAGGGGGACGAGGAAAAAGACCTTCGTAGGACATCCGCCAGTGAGACCCTGAATCCCCTGCCACGTGGGCATCCACTCCACTCCTCCTCCAGGCCTCTGCGTGCGGCGAACGTGACGGACATCGAACGCTGGCCCAGCCGTCACGGTCAAGCGGCAAACCCCAGCTCTGTCGCAGAAGTTTGTTGTTCTGCGTGGTTTGCTGGCCCTTGCTTCTGGCAGATATCATTTAGTAGATATGATGCCGCCACGCACCAGGCGCCTTGCTCCAGACATTGCAGTACCCGTTCGCACCACGTTGTGTATGAGGTGTTGGGCGTTCCTCTGCAGCGCTCCCAGGATGCCCGAGGAATTACACAGATGAACTTGTACCGTTCGCATAGCGCACACAGCTGGTGATCGCACGTGAATGTGGCGGACAGGACGGAGGAGGAGGAGGAGGAGGACACAATAGGAAGAGGAGGAATGAGGAGAAGGAGGAGGAGGAGGAGGAGGAGGAGTTGGAGGAATAATAATAATATGGTGGCGAAGAAGAAAAGAAATAATATTAAGAGAAGAACAAGAACAAGAACAAGAAGAAGAAGAGGAAGAAGAGGAGAAGGAGGAAGGAGGGGAAGGATAGAGGCGTGGGAGAAGAGGAGGAGGAGGAGGAGAAGGAGGAGGAGGGGCAGAGGGAGGTGGCCGTGAAGGACGGGGAAAAGGACGGCCCCCTTTTCGACGGTCCCGTCGCACCTGCTCAACCCCGCCGAGGTCGAACTGCTCAGGTCCCGCGAGGGCTTCTGCAAGTCCGAGCACGACCGCTTCCTGTACGCATTCCACACGTTCGACAAGGAGATGGTAGAAGCGGAGGTGGAGGAGGGGAGAGGGCAGAAGTGGAGGAGGAGGAGGAGGAGGAGGAGAAGAAGAAGGAGGTAGGGAGAAGAGGGGGGCGAGGACGAGGAGGAGGCCCGTAGCCACCCTGGCTGGAGGTGGTTTTACTCTCTAGTCCTTCGAATGGACACCCCCGAGCCCGCTGCCCAGCGCCAGAGCTCTCGAATGCCCAGCCGTACGCTCGAAGGGGTAGGCCGTGGCCCTCTTCCATATCCGGCGGCTGCACCCCCAGACATCCGACGTTTTTCGGACGGGGCTACGACGAGGATAAGTCCCTAGAGCGTTCCGGAGCGCTCTGAGAAGACCGCGGCGCCCGATGCATCTGCCAAAGCCGCCAGATCTCAGAGATTCTCGATCTATCCTCGCCTGAGCGACGCAAGAGAAAGGGGGCGACTGCGCCGGCCTGCGTAAGGTCGCGCGTAAGCGCCTTCGTCTCCAACGTGGCGTGCCCCTCCAGCGGCCCGCGTAAGCTACCACGTAAGGTCGCCATGTCATCTCGCGCAAGGCCCCTTTCTTTCCGCCGCCCACCTGAACTTCCCCTCGCCCTGGATTTGTGTCTCAGCCTTGGCTCTTGTTACAATGTTTCTCGTCGCGACGCGGCAGAGGCAATCAGTTCGCGCGCTCTAGTAGCTGGGGCGAGGCGTAGCTGGGGCGAGGCATACCGATCATCTGGCAGCACGAGAGAGAGAGAGAGAGAGACGGCACTGAGGGCGGCCGCGGAGCAAGGGCGAGCGGGGGAGGGCACTCACAGCACGAAGATCTTCGGCAGGAGTGGCCGGTGCGGCCGGCCGTTGCCGAGGCGCTCTTGTTCCAACACGGGGCCCCTGGAAGTCCCGGCCCCCTCCTCGGGGCAGGCTTCTAGTCCCCAGCCGCGTTCACTGCCGCCCTGGATCGCCGCGGGGGCCCTCGAAGGCGGCGGGGTGAGCCGTCCTCCCCCGCGAGGGCCCCAGGATGATGGGCCTGTTTTCCACCACCACCACCACCACCACCACCATAAGCTGGAGGGGGGAAGGAGGTGGAGGACGAGGAGGAGGAGGACGAAGAGGAGGAGGAGGAGGAGGAGGAGGAGGAGGAGGAGGAGGTGGAGGAGGAGGAGGAGGAGGAGGAGGACCCCCTCCCCTCCAACTCATGGTGGTGGTGGTGGAAAACAGGCCTATCACAGGAGGCATGAGCCGAGGGCTTCAGAAACGCCCCCCTGGTTCCCACACGGGGCCCCGGGAGTGCCGACGACTTCCCCCGGGGCAGGCTCATGCTCCCCTGCCGCGTTCCCTGTCGGCCCCATGGCCCGACGCGGGCGCCCCCTGAGGCGGCACGCGGCGAGAGCCTCCCGCCGCGAGGGTGTCCACGGCGCAGGGCTTGCCTGGGCCAGGGGCACGTGTCCAGGGGCGCCCTCGAGGGCGCGCGAAGCTTCTCGCGCTTCGCGGCTCGGCTCCGATTCCTCCGCGCCCTCCCCTCCTCCCTTTGGGGGGCGGCGCGGGCGCGCGAGGCTCCTCGCGCGGCTCCTCGCGCGCCCGCGCAGCGCGGCGCGCGAAGCGAGGCGCCCTTGGTGTCGCCGCGCCGCTCGCTCCGACGCGCGGCCTTGGCGCCTTGGGGAGAGGGGGCCTCGGCCACCAGGGCGAGCGCCGCCTCGCCTCCTCCTCCCCCTCCTCCTCCCTCCTCCTCCTCCTCCTCCTCCTCCTCCTCCTCCTCCTCCTCCTCCTCCCTCCTCCTCCTCCCCCTCCTCCTCCACCTCCTCCTCCTCCTCCTCCTCCTCCTCCTCCTCCTCGGGCCTGCCGAGGTGTCCGCTTCGCTGGCTCGGGGCGCGTCGGGAACCGCCGGCGCGTCGGCGCGGTGCGGAGGCGGCCACCGGCCCAGGCAGCGCAGGCCCCGGCGCTCGAGGCCCCGGCGCCCGCCTCCTGCCTCGGCACGGCGTCGGGCCCGCGGGTGCGCTCGCCGGGTCCGGATGTTCTGGATGACAGAACTCGACCCAGACCTCCTCGCGTCGTGAAAAAAATCACGACGAGAGGTTTTTGGGCTATTTTCGGCCTTGGGGGGCCCTTCCCGGGCCTCGGGACCGTCAAAGAGTGATTCAGGATGCAGAACCGGTCCTGGGGAGAGGGTCCAGACCTCTGGGGGTCGACGTGGTGAAAAAGATCACGACGTCGGAGGTTTAGGGAGGAAGAAGAAACTACGCACGCGCGGTCAGAAACCTTTGCTTGGCGTGTCGCGCCGCGGGCTCTGGCCCGCCACGCGCCGGCGCGACACGCTGTCCACGCCCTGGTCCCCAAGCGCGAAGCGTCCGCGTCCCGAGCTTTTCCAACCTCCTCCTCCTCCTCCTCCTCCCCCCCCTCCTCCTCCTCCTCCTCCTCCTCCTCCTCCTCCTCCTCCTCCTCCTCCTCCTCCTCCTCCTCCTCCTCCTCCTCCTCCAAGCCCCCCCCCCGCGGAACGGAGCGACACGCTAGCCGCTCGCAGGGCAGAGCGTGCCGCCAGGGCCGCCGCCGCGGCACGCCAAGCAGAAGTTCCCGACCGCCGACCGAAAGTGTGGAAGGCCCGCGCGGCGCGTGCCGCGGCCCTCCGCCGCACCCGGTGGCTGCCCCCAGGGGCTCGCCGCGGCCCGCGCGCGCGGAGCACCTCCTGGCTGGGGCTTGCGTGTGCTTCTTGCTCGGGCCCGGCTCCTCTCGGTCCCCCTCCTGGACGGCGCCTTGTCGTCCTCTCCCCTCCTTCATGCATGGTGGGTGGTTGAATTCGCCTTACGTTGCCCCGTTTCTCCTGCCCAGCCGCCGACGGAAAAGTGTGCTTTTTGCTCGCCCCGCGGAGGCGGCCCCCGCCGCCCACAGAAGCCGCTGGCCCCACAAGGCGGCGAGATTTCGGCGAGGATCTGAGTGGGGGGGGGGGGGGGGGGGGCAACATCAGGAGTTCGAGGTCACGGGCTTTTCCTGGCGTTTTCGTTGGTTCTCGGCGGCTTTCCAGCCTCGGGATGCTCTCCAGCAGCTGCGCCTCGCCGAGAGCGTTCAGGGGCTGCCAGGATCGTCCCGAACGGCTGCCAGAGGCCCGAGTTACGATCCGACAACCATCCCGGGGACACGCTCAAATGGGAACGCCTCGACCCCCAGTCACGCACTCATCGCCGACAGGAGCCCGCTGGCCCGCCCCGCCCGGGGAACCTGCGGTTTCGTCAGCCGGGGCCGGACCCTGCTCTGCCCGCGATGCCTCGCCGATGCAGGCTCGGTGGTCTTCCTCGCCGGAGCTGGCCCTCCCTCCTCCTCCTCCTCCTCCTCGTCCTCCTCCTCCTCCTCCTCCTCCTCCTCCCTCCTCCTCCCCCCCTCCTCCTCCTCCTCCTCTCCTCCTCCCCCTCCTCCTCCTCCTCCTCCTCCTCCCCCTCCTCCTCCTCCTCCTCCTCCTCCTCCTCCTCCTCCTCCTCCTCCTCCTCCTGTCGCCCCCCCCGCGGCGAGGGGCACGTCCAGACGAGGCATGCGGGCCTCAGCCCGGGGCCGGGTCACGCACTCTGCCCCGGCGCGTCGCGCCGCCGGTGCCGGCCCGCGGCGCCTCGGCGCGGCACGCGGGCCGCGTCCCGGGCCCCCAGGCGTCGACGATCCCGCGCGTGCTCCCCGGCCTCGCGCCCCGCAGAGTGGAGCGGCGCGTCCTCCGCGTGCAGGGCATGGCGTGTTGCAGGGGCCGCCGCCGTGGCACGCCGAGCAGAAGGGAGTCGCAGAGGGGCTCCGAGGGCCTGAAGCAGCGCTCCACGGAGCGCAAGAGAGAGAGCACTAGAGATCACCCCCGGCGGCGCGAAGACAGTCGCACTTTGCGCGTGCCAGTTTGGGTCGGGGAAGCGGTATCACGCACACACCCCGGCAGTCCCCGCCGGCAAACGACGACCGCGACGACGACCTGGACCACGACAATGACGACGACGACGACGACGACGACGACGACGACGACGACGAGTGTGACCACGACGAACAGCCACGAAAGGGGCCTCTTGTGATCGACGTAATTAGCATAATATTTGGCTGGGAGGCGTCCTTTGGAGGGGGGTCTGAAGGTCTGAAGCAGTGCTCCATGCAGCGCAAGAGAGCACTAGAGTTCCCCAAGGATGCGAAGATAATCTCGCTTCGCGCATCCCGTCTTGGGTTGGAGAGGCGGTGCCATCCCCGACGGCACTCGCCGCCGGCAACCAACGACCAGGACCACGACGACCAGGACCACGACGACGACCACGACGACCACGACGACGACCACGACGACGACGACAACGACTACGACGACACCCCACCCGTTGCGCCCGCCCATCCCGACCGCCCGTCCGACCCGCCCGCTACAATGTCCAGCCCGACCCGTCGTCGTGGTCTTCCTCGTTTTTGTCATCGTCGTCTGGGGTGGGTCGCAACCCCCCCTTGCGCCAGCGGGGTCAAGAGCCCCCCCTCCCCCCCTGTGCCGGAGGGGGACTGTCTGGGACCCTTTCTCCCGTGGTCCCCAGGGAATTGTTGGGGTGTTGGGGGTGTTGGGTGGGGGTCGCCCAGTTTCGAAGGGGGGCTCTGGATTTTGTTTCGGGGGGGGGGAGCGGCCCCTTGGTTTCGAGACCCTTTTTGAGGAATTCCCTCAGGCAGGCGAATTTGAAATGCGCTCCCGAAAACTAAAGTTGTCTTGAAAATTGCGACTCTGCTTCACAATTTCGGTGATTAGCGTGATCGGGGGACGGGACTTGACAGGAGGCCAGAATGTGGTCTCGGCCCATTGAGTACCACTTAGATCAGCGTTGCCTCGAACAGGTCACATCATGTCATGACATCAGAGACCCCGTCTTCTCCCGACCCAAGAGCACGTCTTCGCTGGGCTTCTACCTCGGAAATTGGTTGTACTCATCGTGGCAATAGCCGTGTTGATCAGAATGATCAGTGTCGCGATCATGAAACTAATCGTCAGCAGCAGCACCGCCGTGGACTTCATCATGAGCATGACTGTGGACACCACAATTATTATCA